GTACATGAAATAGTACATGCTGGCTCAGAATTTAGATGCATGCATTCCACTACATATGAAAATCCCACTAGGGCAGTCTTTTTTACAGGCTGCATGATTCACATACTGGCAAATGACATTCAGAAGTATCTGGACTTACAAAACTACTGAGCTCGCAAAACTCCCATTGTAGTCTATAAGAAATACAGATAAAAACACAATGATTTGACATTATCAACAGTGAATAGTCCTATCTTTTTGCTACCAAAAATTAGTATTATTAACTAACTGAAAGTATTGTTTAGCAGTAATAGTAATATCAATTTATCTGCCGGTAGATTGATCTCCCTATTCATGGATGTTCTGTTTTCTCTGCAAGTAATGGTATTACTTCTATCTATCGATGCTCTTTGCAAGTTCATTCAGCACTACGTATTTTTCAAAGGATGGGTTAAATATTGCACTAATGTGCAGTACTCTCTTCTGAGGTTGGCATGGAATAAGTCCTTATTTTAGAAAAGAAGGAACTGAGACTATTTAAAAATAAACATTTTTTCATTCTTTAATAGTGCCTGGAAATTGCCAAGTCATATTTTTAGGCTTAGTCTGTGGACGGCTCTTTTTGAGCCATTTGAGAGCACTCTTTCTATGTGCTTTTATTTTATGTGATTTGACATGAACACAGTAATTCCACAACTGAATGGTGATTATCTTACTGTTAAGGCACTCAGATGTGTGAAGAGGTGGTCTCAGAGTTAGCTTCCCAGTTTAAGGCTATTACGGGTTTTAGCCAGTGGTCTTGGACACAGCACTGAATTAGCACCTGAGTACACTGTTGGTTCTCTTCTGCTGATTCTGGATATTCTAAGCTAATTCTTTTAACTTCTCTAGCTCCAGTAATATACACAGCCAAGAATTCATTCTCTTGAATTCTTAACTTCAGGTGTTAGATTCCAGATAGAGATGATGTGATACTACGTATGTCTTGACAGTCTCTTTTCCTCCACATTCCCATTCTTGAAATGTTTGGCATAGTTTAATTTCCTTACACGGGGATGATTTATTTACTCTATGTAAATTATACTATTGTAAGACTTCTGCGTGTCTCTCAAATGCTTATAGGAATGTTTGAACATGTGGGAGAATACTTAATATTAGCTGCTAGTTGTATATACAAAAAAAAAAGAAAGTGGAGCTTATACCTCAGTCTTTCATAATTTCTACATAAGCTATGATTTGGCCCAGATTTCTTAAGTACTTAGCCTAACTTTGCAAAATTTTATCCAAGTCCTAAGCATGCAAGGAAATATCTTTGCTGAAATCCTCATCTCACTGAATTAAGTAGCAGAACTCACACATATTTTAATAGAGCAAGGAATTTACCCCTGAACTTGAAATGTGACCTGGAAAAAAAATCCACAAACTTTTTTCCCATTTGAGCATTACCAAAGCTTTTCATTTTGAAGAAACTTGCAGAATTAATGCAACAGAATTTTATATTTAAATACGTGCACATTATTCCCAAACACATTCAGCCTAGACTTAAACTCTTGACAGTCCAGAGGTGCTCCTGCATATTGCAAAGGAAGCTGTGAAGCAGAGCAGGAGCTGCCCTTGGACCGTGTACATAAACACTCTGAACATTACTTAGTCTGTTTAAAACTAAATCCAACTACTTGCAGCAAATAAATCGCTTCTGCTATACAAGTTCCAGATACTAGCTCAGCTATAGATGTGGTGAACAGTGTTTGACCACAATAAGTAGTGGTATAGTAAAACATAGTGCACAGCTCACCCTTATTGCAATAAAGTGATTAGCAAACTGCACAGAGGTTGGCGTGCATGGGGTACCTTTGCGAAGAGCCACAAAGGAATAAGTAATGTATGGGAGGCTTTATAACTGTGATGGAAGTTGGGGAATGTCCATTCAGTCATGAGTGTGGTTGACAAGTTTTAACATCTTCCAGAACATCGTCCAGAGCCTCCAGAGCTTTCAGACACGCTGAGAGATGACAAGCAGCTCATATGGGCCTCTGAGACAGAATTTATACAGTCTGTGACATTCCAACATGCTTTTGGTAACAATCGTCTATTACCATTACAAAACTGCTATTAGCATTCTCCTGAGAGGTGAGCATATCCCCTTGGTTATGTTTAAACCCCTGATAGGAAGTGCCTCAACTGCAGTCGGGGGCAGTGCCGCCCATTTGCTAACCATTTACAGAGTTGTCACAACGTACAGAGGAGAGCTGTAAACTTTTCCTAGCAGATCATTTATATCCCCCCTCCCCTGGTAATTCTACAAATAGTCTGCCCACTTCATGCGGGGCAATATTAATTTTCTATTTGCTGAAGAACTGGGCATACCAAGTAGCACTCAGAAGGCTGGCAGAAAGACAGGTATTTCTTCTTGCAGTGGAAACTGTATATAGTTACCATGAAAAAGTCAGTAAGGCAGTGTAAACCACGATTTTATTTACATGTTGTCATCTGCAAAGACACAAAGGCCTTGTCTTTATTTGGAATTAGGCCTGCAGACACTGATGTAGAAGAAAAAGTACAACCTCCAGTCTTGTAAGAGAGACAGCAAACTTGTGTTTTTCTCAGTCCTGGAGCAATCTCCGCTCATAGTACTTTTTGTCCCTTTTTCTTGTGAGTTCACCTTGTGCAGGAACACCAGAAGCTGCAGCTGTGGCTTACTCTTTCCATATAGCTAGAACAGACCAGATAATGCCATAGATTTCAAATGATCTGCATTATTGCAACAACGTGGGCTGTGGCCTGAAGTCAAGTTTTTGAAGAGCAGCACCCCAAGGTGTGCAACTCATTATGAATGAGACAAGAGTTCTCAGTTCAAAATGTTTAATATGGAGTAAAGATTTTTAAAAAGAAGTATGTGGTGGGTTGACCCTGGCTGGACGCCAGGTGCCCACCAAAGCCGCCCTATCACTCCTCTCCTCAGCTGGACAGGGGAGAGAAAATATAATGAAAGGTTCGTGGGTTGAGATAAGTACAGGGAGAGATGCCTCGCCAATTCCCGTCATGGGCAAAAGAGTCTCG